GTGTTCGTTGGGAAAGCTGTTGTGCCAAGAAGCCAGGAAAAGCCTTCAGTGGGACTTTCAGGCCACTGTAGAGCAGGGAGGTCTGGCGGGATGGGACGGGGACCCCTTCCTGCCCTTTCTTGCTGTGGAACTACTTGAAGTGGCATCCAGCCCCAGCACCCTGCATAGTCCGGTAACTCTTCCCCTTTGGCAAATTTTCCTTTCAAGGAGAAGGAGGGCAGACTGGGAAAAAGCCTCAGCTGCTGCTTCTGCTGCTTAAAGCAGTCCAGACTATTAATGGACAGCTCCAGCTGCTATCCTGAAAGTGAGACTGAAATCTTACACCTTTTTTCCTTATGATAAAATTGATTTTGACATACACTTCTGGAGTTGCTGTAATTTTTAAGAAAGTGCCCATCTGTAAGGTCAATGAACATTTGGATACAGCAAAGGACTTGTATCACACAGGTCAGGACCAGAACAGCTCCCTGGTCTGGTATGGTGGGAGGGCTAGTCCCTCTCTCCCTCCCTCTCTCCCTCCCTCCCTCCCTCTCTCCTTCGCTCCCTACCTTCCTTCCTTCCATGGTGGGAAAGCTAGCTCCTTCCTTCATTCCTCCCTCCCTCCTTCCCTCCCTCCTTCCTTTTATCTTTTTCTTTTTCTTTTTTTTTTTTTTTTTTTTTTTTTTTTTTTTTTTTTTTTTTTTTTTTGAGGCAGGGTCTCACTCTGTCACCCAGGCTGGAGTCCAGTGGTGTGATCATGGCTCACTGCAGCCTTGACCTTCTGGGCTCAAGTGATCCTCCTGCTTCAGCCTCCTGAATAGCTGGGACCACAGGCCTGTGCCATCATGTATGACTAATCTATTTAAAAAAAATATTTTGTAGAGATGGGGTCTTGCTAAGTTACCCAGGCTGGTCTTGAACTCCTGGCTCAAATGATCCCCCTGCCTCAGCCTCCCAAATTGCTGGGATTATAGCCGTGAGCCACCGCACCCAGCCTGGAAAGGCTAGCTTCTGAGAGGCCTACTTATGGGCACCATCTTTCTCTCCAAAAAAGCTTCTCCATGAGTGTAAGTCTTCCTTGGGCAAACTAAAGGAATTTCTGGCTCACCCTGACAGAGCGGGAATAAGCGAGATATCTGCCCTGATCTTGGACCTTCAGATCATTCAAAGATTCTGCTGGTGGCTAACGTAAATCAAGCCTGCAGCGCGTTTGACAATGCTTGTCTCAGGTCTTCTTACTTAGCTTCTACATTTCATCTCAGGCTCCGCTCCTTCAAAACGCTGGCTTCCAACCCTCTTTGCTATTCCACTTCTCTAGGGCTTCCTTGGACACATCCCATGGTCATTGTATTTCTTTCCTTGTCTTTGTTGCTTTAGATAATACCCGGCCACATTGAACCCTAAAGGGACTCCTCCCTGCCTTGGGTTGTTTTGTCATTGCCATCATCCAGGCTGTCAGGGCTACTCCACAGCAGGTGGTGGGACAGAGGGGGTGAGCTTGTGCCAGGAAGGAACACATGTATTTGCAAGTGGGATGGGATGAGAGTGAGCTAGGTGGAATGCTACCACCACCTTCCAGCCTCTCCTGAGCTGCTTCCCCTCCAGGGACTGCACAGGCCACAGAGGACTTGGAGGAGGACTAGAGTTCAATGCAGGAAGATGGTGACAAGGTATTCAGTAAGGACTCTGATGATCCAGGCTGGTTTGTAGAGATGCCGTGGAATGTCCAGAAAGTAGGCTGGAAGCATGGCATAGCAGGGAAAGGAGAGCAAAGCTGAGAGCTGCTGAGCTAAATCTTGCATTTAGGATGGGCAGCAGAACACAAGAGGAGGGGTGGCCTGGTGGGGATGGCTGGTGAAGGTGCATGGCAGGTGACACCCAGGGCCTGGAGAGGCAGAAGGCTGATGGCCCCAATCTTCACCAGACAGCCCTGGTGGAAGGTTATCCTCAGCAGTGATTCGAGAATCTTGGAGCCTGTTTGAGAGTCAGGACTGGAGAAGTGTGAAGTATAAGGTGACACCACCCCTTGGAGAGTTTGCTTGGGTGAGTGGGAGATGGCGTTGGGCCCCCTTGGGATATTCCTCTTCAATGGACTGTTCTGCAGTGCCTATGGCCCAGTGAAAAATGCTCCCTCATTGGACTTTAGAAAAAAAGAGGAGAAGCAACTTCAAGAAGGCCAAAGGCAAGAGGAATTCCCCCTCATACACATCCATCGAATAAAAGGTGACTTCAGGCCAGGTGCGGTGGGTCACATCTGTAATCCCAGCACTTTGGGAGGCCAAGGCAGGTGGATTACCTAAGGCCAGGAGTTCAAGACCAGCCTGATCAACACAGTGAAACCCTGTGTCTACTAAAAATACAAAAAATTAGTTGGGCTGTGGTGGCGCACCCCTGTAATCCCAGCCACCCGGGAGGCTGGGGCATAAGAATCACCTAAATTTGGTAGGCAGGTTGCAGTGAGCCAAGATCGTGTAACTGCACTCCAGCCTGGGTGACACGTTGTCTCAAAAAAAAAAAAAAAAAAAAAAGGGAAAAAAGGGGAGGATTTCAGCCTAGAAAAGCAATATTCTACCTTCAGGGTCATTCACCCTAAGCGGAACAGAGCCTGGGAATTTATCTGTAGTTATTTTCCTAAGCAAATGAGTTGGCGGTCTCTGAGACAACTGGCCTCCATCTGCTGTTTCTATATATTTTCAAAGAGAAATCGATGATGGGGACCAAGCTCTCTCTTGTCTCCGGAGACACAGTTCAAGTATTCTTATTCAATCATTTTTTTGCTTTCAGGTTTTCTTGCCTAGGGGAGTTCAAGACCTTTTGGCTTTAGCTGGATTTTTCAACTTATCTCTCAAAAATTTTCAGTGATGGAGCTCCTTCTTTAAGCAGTAGTTTACACAGGCCACGATTTACAAATCAGAAAAAACTCAGGATTCTATTAGCATATATTTATTTTATAACTTCACATTTATAACATTTTACTTTGTATGCTATCAAGAAATGACAATGAGATCACTCTCACAAATACAAAAACACATGAAATTAGAGTGTCATGGTAATAATCGTATCACTTTGGTCAAACAGTATTAAAACTACAATTTAGAAAGATAATTGATCACAAATGATACCTTTTAAAAAATGCTTTTCTTACAATCCCAGGTTATTCTTTAGTTAAACCAAACCACAATCAGAAAAAATAAGTGACTATTTAAAAGTCAAACCTCTAACAATTGTCAACAGCTGCTGGAAGAGTCATCACAAATATAAAAAACAACAAGCACTCAGGTTTACAATAAGAACGGAAATGGTTTCTAACACCAAGGTAGCCTGGGAGTCAACTGGAAGCATATTAACTTGTTATCACGCAACTGTCAGAACAATAAAGACGGCATGCATTGAGCAGGCAGGAACATCACAAAAATGTTAACGGTCTCAATGTATTGAGGGCTTTCTGCGTTCCAGATGTCATGCAAAGTGCTTAAAAAGCATTAAGTCATCTGATCCTCATAACAACTGTGTACTCTCATCTTCTTGTTTTTCAGAGGTGGAAACTGATGTCTAGATAAGCTAAGCAATTTACTTACAGTATGCACAAATCTACCATGAGACTATACATCAATTGTGTTGGAGCTTTCCCTAGCACGTATAACTAAATGGTGCTCCTCTGCACTGCACTCACACACTTACATGATACATGACATACACAGGTCTGATCTAAACACCCACGTGGTGCTACTACTTTTAAATCTATGAACAGTTAAAAGAAGTTCGGATACGTACACAGATACCATAAAGGAAGCTTTGCTCCAAGGTCTACACAAAATGAGCCAATCTGGAAACAAAAGCAAGCCTGGTGGTGAATGCTAATGTGCTAAAATTTGGTTATCAGCCCATTTTAATCTAGCTGTTATTTACTAGAGAGTCAAAGAGTTTAGGCTGGGTGCGGTTTCTCATGCCTGTAATCCCAGCATTTTGGGAGGCTGAGGTGAGAGGATCACTTGAGGTCAGGAGTTCAAGACCAGCCTGGCCAACATGGTGAAACCCCGTTTCTACTAAAAATACAAAACTTATTTTGTATTTTTCCAAGGCTGGGGACTTCTTGAAAGCAGAGCTTAGGTTCAGTCATCTGTGTCTTCAAGGCCTGGCACAGCACATAGTTCTGGGACCATCTAACTGACACCTGGCAGAAAGGCAGGAATGCTTCCCAGGTTAAAACAACAACCACCACCACAACAAAATCTGCGGGCGGAGATGATCCTATTTATTGAGTGATGACACTTTTACTGGGGTTATTTACACAAAGGGTTAGTTAGCCTTTTACCTGTCTAGACCACCTCCTCATGTAGACTGGAACCTCTCTGAGGGCAGGGCACATTTTGTAGGTTTATAACTGCTCAACTGCAGGTTAGAGCTGTAGTCTTGTAACTCCTTGTACAGAGAGAGAATTTCTGTACTCAGAAAGAATTTGCTGATTTGAGAAAGGAAAATAGCTGATAAGTCAAATAGCTTTATTTTTCAAACATAATTACAAAAGCTTTTTTTTTTTTTTTTTACTGCCAACTCTTTCTTCTAGGGTACGGGCCAACTCTAGCCTACTTGGGATTACTTAAAGAAAATTGGAAGTACAAGTGTTTCAGATTCCTTCAGATTTACTATCTAATATTTGGAGTCTAATCTCTTGTTCATTAATAATCTACATAGAGTCTGAGAAACTCGTAGATATATTTTTTTAAAAAACAAAAATCAAGGGCTGGGCATGGTGGCTCATGCTTGTAATCCTAGCACTTTGGGAGGCTGAGTTGGGCATATCGCTTGAGCCTAGGTGTTCCAGACCAGCCTGAGCAACATAGTAAAACCCTGTCTCTACTAAAAATACAGAAAAAAAAAAAAAAAAAAAAAGCTAGGCGTGGTGGTGCATGCCTGTAGTCCCAGGTACTTGAGAGGCTAAGGTGTGAGGAACACCTGAGCCTGAGCCTGGGAAGTCAAGGCTGCAGGGAGCCGAGATTGTTGTGCGTCTGCACTCCAGCCTGGGTGATGAGAGTGAGACCCAAGAAAGAAAGAAGAAAGGAAAAAGAAAAATACAAAGGAAGAAAGGAGAGAAGGAAGGGAAGAAAGAAAAAAAGGAAGGAAGGAATGAAGGAAGGAAAGAAAAAAGGAAGGAAGGAAAAAAGGAAGGAAGGAAGGAAGGTCAATAATTGGGTTTCATGCCTTGATTTCAGTCCCATACATTAAAGAAAAAAATTCTTTCAAGGTCTTAGCCTAGCAAGGCGCATGTCCCTAGGCCCACTGGCTGTGGGTCCTGCACTCAGGTGGTTTTCAGTCCTCCCCCTCATGATCCCAGCGGCCATAGCCATCTCCTAACTCTGGCTCTTCGATATTCTCATTCTGAAAGGAGGCCTCTTCCTCCTCCTCTTCCCGTATTACCTTCATTAGCTCAAGGAAGCTGGGGATCGGGCCCTGATCCTTCATCTCCCGGAGCCGGCACCACAGCGTATGGTTAAGAGTGGCCCCGGCCAGGACCTGCTCCAGGCGGACCTGGTCCGCGATGCGCCGCGGGATGGCGCGTTTCTCCACGGCTCTCCAGAGCAGGGTTTCTAACCGTAACACATAGGCCGACACCTTCTCTCCCTCCTCCTGATAGGTCTTCAGGTACCTCACCTGGGAGGTCCTGCGGCTCTCCAGGCTCCCAAACACCTGCTTAAAGGCCTCCAAACACTGTTCCACATTGATGGACGGGTTGTCTGCCTGAACCACGTGCATGAGGTCCAGGGCAGGGCCCCGCAGGCTCTCCGCCAGCCACCTCTTCTTTTCTGCCTCTGTTACCCGCCACTCTTTGACTATCTCCGTGGCCTGTTCCAACCAGACCTCAAAAGGCTCTTCCTCCGGGGCTGGCTCGGCACTTCCCGAGAACACTCGCAGTTTCCGGTATCTCATGGGTAGCAGGGGCACAGGCGCGTGTGCCATTGCCTGTCCCAACAGATGGGCCAGTAATTCTGGTGAGATGCAGGGCACGGTGGCTGGAGACACGCCCCCATGCTCCAGGGCTCGAAACATACCCGAGATGGTCTGCCCCTCTTGTTCTAGAAAGAGGTTCAGCCTTTCCAGAAACTCCGTGTCCTGATTGGGAGTCTTAAAGATCACCTTCCAGACACCCCCCTTTCCCTGGACCTCACTGGGGATAGCTGAGACATCAGTATCTTCCAGAAGCTCTAGCAAGACAGCATTGGTATTCTCCTGCTTCCGGAATATCTTGCCAAGCAATCTATACCTGCCCAGAGACTTTAAAGTCTCCTGAAGGACCTCCTTAATCTCAGCCTCCTCATACTCCGCTGGTATCCCAGTAACCATTAGTGACTTCTGCTCATCCACACTCATCAGCCTGCACCAGTCCTCTAAGAGTGCCAGTGCCATCTTCCCAAGAACTGACCCACTCCGACTCTATGGGTACCAACCTATTAGTGGTTGCTATGCACTGACTTAGTATTGAAAGTATCCTGGATGAGCTTCTAACCTTAGAACCCACCAGTGAATGGGTCCCAGGTTAGGTCACTCCAAGATAGTCACAAAGTTTTCTGGACAAATAACCCTGCCCTACCCAGTGGCAAGAACTCAGGACTTCTTGTGGTCTTTAGACCTGAGTTCTAAGTCAGTTCTAACCACACCTCTGCCTGCAGCCCTGAAGTCTGCAGATGATCTTCTCAAAGATGCTGGCAGCCACGTGGCACCGACGCTTCTCTGACAGTTGAGGCACCTGGGACAGCTGCTTTTTCCACAGCCTCCTGATCTCTGATGTTTCGCCTCTCTCCAGTGGGTGGGAAAATGCCTTCCACTATGGCACCCAGAACTCTTGGAGAGAAGTCTCCCAGTAGGGCGCCTTGGATTCCTAGTGAAACAAGGTTCAGTTTTACCGCACAGCACTCTCTTTCCCAGGAAGCATCCGTGCTCTAGGTTGGAATGGAACTGGGGGAAGATGAGGGTTCTGTTTCACAGTGTGCTTGCATCTGCCCCACTCTGTCACACCCCTTCTTTGCTTACTGTGACTCTTTTCCTCTCAAGGACTCCAGTGAAATTTGGTGTCCCCACTATAACCTTATCAGACCTATTAATTAATGTCTGAACCCCATTAAGGACAGGATTCAAGGTCTTTGCCATGTGAAAGATGAAATCAGGAGATGTGGCTAAATACCTGTTTTTGTGTTCCCGAGTGTTCTGCAAGAGTTGAGGAGCTTATTTATGCACCTTCTACCACAAGAAGACGTCACCCACCTCCACACAATGATGTGTCTGTCTTAGCTTCAGCCAAGCCAAGCTGCCCTGTTACACATAAAGAATAGTATTTATGCTTCATTAATATTCAATAGGAAGACCGTTAATGCACTTATTCAAAAATATGACAATCCTTCACAATGCTACTCAATATTAAGTTGCTTTACTTCTTTGTGTAACAAAACTAATTAGAAATCACTCAAACATTTAAAAATAGTTTAATCTAGGTATAACAATTCAGGAAAAAAAATCTCATGTCAGACTAAGTTAAATTTGGAATTATGAATTAATTCTCTTTTGTTGTGTCTGGAAGGCTTTGCAAACACACATTTGGGTTTTGCTTTTGCTATGAATGGTAAGTAAAATAGTTTGAATGTTTGTCCCCTCCAAATCTCATGCTGAAATGTGATCCCCAGTGTTGGAGGTGGGGCCTGGTGCGATGTGTTTGGGTCAAGGGAGTGGACCCTTTATGAATGGCTTGGTGCCATCCTTGGGGTAATGAGTGGGTTCTTGCTATATTAGTTTCCTCCAAATCTGATTGTTAAAAAGAGACTGGCACCTCCTGCCCTTCACTCTTGCTCCCTCTCTTGCCACATCTGCTCCACTTTTGCCTTCTGCTATGATTGGAAGCTTCCTGAGGGGTCACCAGATGCATATGCCAGCACCATACTTCTTGTACAGCCTGCAGAACTGTGAGCCAAATAAACCTCTTTTCTTTATAAATTACCCAGCCTCAGGTATTCCTTTACAGTAACACAAAATAGACTAAGACAGTAAGCTGCTAGCACAACACTTTCTCCTAGCATTTCTTTCTGTTTTTGTTTTTTGAGACAGGGTCTCACTCTGCTGCCTAGGCTGGAATGCATGGCTCACTGTAGCCTTAACCTCTCCTGGGCTCAAGCAATCCTCCAACCTCAGCCTCCTAAGTATCTAGGACCAAAGGCACATGCCACCATTCTTGGCTAGTATTTTAATTTTTTGTGGAGACAGAGTCTCCCTATGTTGTTCAGCCTGGTCTCGAACTCCTGGGCTCAAGCGATCCTCCTGCTACAGCCACCCACAGTACTGAGCTACACGCATGGAACACAATGCCCAGCCTCTCCTAGCATTTGAACTTTAACCCATCATTTGAGAAAAAAGGAGGAAGCTCACCTATCAAGGAGTTTGTTCTGGATAGCCTGTGGAGATTAGAGAATGTAAAAAAGTTACAGGTGGCTGGGCATGGGGACTCACACCTGTAATCCCAGCACTTTGGGAGGCCAAGGTGGGTGGATCACCTGAGGTCAGAAATTCAAGACCAGCCTGGCCAACATGGCAAAAACCCATCTCTACTAAAAATACAAAAATTAGCCCGATGTGGTGGCACATGCCTGTAATCCCAGCTACTTGGGAGGCAGGAGAATTGCTTGAACCTGGAAGGCGGAAGTTGCAATGAGCTGAGATTGTACCACTGCACTCTAACCTGAGTGACAGAGTGAGATTCTGTCTCAAAAAAGAAAACAGAGTTCCTAATACCTTCCAGTTACCACTGCATAGTGTGTGTTGGGGGCTGCAGCCATCTCCCTCTTTGCCTAAACATCTTCATCAATTCGAATGGGGGCCATATGCCACAAGGCTGTCCTGTACCTCTATCAGCAGCTGCTTCTGCTGTGCGCACATCTCTAGAGTCTTTAGGGAGGTGCTGAAGACACTTGGGGTTCCAGAGAGCCAGGAGGGCAAAATGCTACTTCACCCCTGTGCCCAGGAGCCCTAGGGACCTGAGACTTCTGACTTCTCTATGCCTGACTTTTCCTTTCTGAAATATGAAGGCTGGTGGGGGGAGGGCCAGGTGCAGTGGCTAACATCTGTGAACACAGCACTTTGGGAGACCAAGGTGGGAGGATCACTTGAGCCCAGGAGTTTGAGACCAGCCTGGACAACATAGTAGGACCCTGTCTCTACAAATAGTAAAAATAAAAAAATTAGCTGGGCATGTGACACTGGTGTGTAGTCCCAAGTACTTGGGAGGCTGAGGAGGGATGATTGCTTGAGCCCAGCCAGTCAAGGCTACAGTAAGCTGCGTTTTGCACCACCGAATTCCAGCCTGGGTCACAGTGTGAGACTCTGTCTGAAAACAAAAACAAAAGCACAACTGGGGGCAACCTTCCTCCCCACTGGGATATTTAGAGGAAACACAGAATGTAAAAAGACACTGCCCAGAGAGAAGCATCTCTATGGTCTATAGAATGACTGCCACGCTTCATGAAGTTAGGCTGTCTTCCGATGCCTCTTCCTCCTAATGTGACCTGTAGTGTGACTTTCTCATAAAAACATGGCAAGAAATACCCTTCATATACAATAGGGCCACAGATGGAAATATCTGGATATGGTAGAAATAGAAGAACTTTGTATTTTCTCACATAAAGGGGGTCACAGGACAAACTGGAAAAGAAGCCAGACTTTGAAGTGGAAGACCCCCACTGGAATTGTTGCATCATTTAAGTAAATACCCAACCTTGGACCAAGCTCTCTAAATCTGTTTCCCAACCTGGAAAGCAGTGCTGATAAGCATGAATCTTACAGGGGGCTGTGAGTGGGAAATGATGTAATTCAGTTGGAATCGCTTTTTTTTTTTTTTTTTCAAATGCTTTATTCAAATGCAAAGCACATCTGGCCCCTCGGGTTCTCTCAGCCTCTCCACTCCTATATTCTTCTTCCTCAGTCTCCCTTTCTCATCCGGAGACGACTTTCTACCATCATGGTGGGCTGATCTTCAAACTGCAACTGGTGGTCCACTAGATGTAACTCTATTCACCAAACTATCCCTCACAATTGGACAGTGGGGGTGGTTGGTAACCGCATTTACTCCTGGGGTGACAATGGGACAGAATTTCTGGTCACAAGGCCCTGCGCAGTGGCCTTGCGGGAAACGGCCTCTCAGCCCAAACCCACCCTGGTTACTGAGCACGCCCAGACCTCCCTCCCGGGCCGCCAAAGGAGGGGCACCATTTCCGCAGGATCTTGCCACTGTGGAAAGAGAGGAGGCGCTGTCATCCGGCAGAGACAAGGACTGATACGCAGAAAGGACGTGGAGATGGAAATAAGCAATGAAGGACCCGCACTGACCGTGTTACGCAGCAAATCCAATTTCCCCCCCACCCCTCGGATACTTACCACCCCGGTGGCAGTAGCTCCACACCTGCACACGCACACCAAGTTCCTACGTACCTTTCCTCCGCTTGGCCCCACACAATTCACGGTACTTACAACTTACCTCCTACTCCGCACCAGATGAGCACCCGCGCTCACTCCCAAACACGTGGCATCTGGTAACCTGGGAAACGCCTCGGCTGTGGCGCAGTGCGCAACAAGGGCGGGGGAACCAGGCGGGGCACTGGGGCGCCGGGAACAGCTGGAGATTTGGGGAGGGGGTTTCAATTTGTTTCGCCCCCCACCCACTTTTTATTATTATTATTTTTGGTGGGGGAAGCAGAAGAAACCAAATCGCGACACGTTCCTGCGTCCTTTTTGCCGCAGTGGCGCAGAAACGGTCCAAGGCGCCCTTGGGCAATAGAGAGGGTCTGCACCCCCTCTCTAAGACGTGGCACTGGGCTGGAATTCCGCACCGCACTCTTTGCTACACCCTTATAGACCGCAGACCTGCGTCTCTCTCTATACTCGTCTCCCATCTGCTGCGCCACTCTGCATTTCTTCCGCCATGTTTTGTCCCCCTCATCCATCACCCGCCACCCACCACCTCAACCACACCAAAGTGGATGCACGAAGCGGGAACCTTAGGGTTTTAGTCTTTCTGCTCCCTGCAGCCTGCCAAGGCTAGTGGGCAAACTGAAGCTTGGGGGTCCAGTGTCTCGGCTGCCCCCGTCCTGTGCCACCCCTTGTTCATCTTCAGTGCCACCCCCCTTCCCACACCTGGAGTAGCCTGGCGCCCGGCTGGTCCCCTTTTCCCATCCACCAGCTCACACCCAGGGTAACGGGGCGGGAGCCCTAGCCAGAGTGAGCCACCGACCCTGGCCGAACTCCGCCTCGCTACAGGTAGAGGTGCCTGGGCCGGGCAGGTGGGGGAGAGGGGCACAGGGGCCGGGGGCTGCGCCCTCGGGTCCTCACCCCGCGTGCCCTGCCGGATACTTACCGAGGCGCGGAGAGCGGTCAGCGAGCCCTCCGCTCCGCATCCATTATCCGGTGGTCTGGCCGCTTCACTTCCGGAGCTCTGGGCTAGGGGCGGTGCCGCCCTCCTCTCTCTCTCTTCTTCCCTCCCCTCCTGCCCTCCCCTGCGCGCCGCTCCCCTCCCCGGCGCCGCGCCCCGCCCGCGCCCCGCCCGCGCCTCCCTCCTCCCAGCGCTGCCGGGAACTGGCAGCCTCTCCGCTCCCGCAGCCGCAGCGGCCGCCCTCCCAGATCCAACTTTGCCGCTCGCCAGAGCTCGCGCGGTGGCCGCGGGGGGCGTGGGCAGGGAGGGGAGAAGCGGGGTCAGGGGGAGGGACTGGGAGGGTGGGTCGCCGGCTCGCCAGCCTTCCTTCCTTTCTGTGCACCTTGCGGTGGGCGGCGAGCGGCAGCCGCGGCAGCAGCTAGGGGGCTTGTGCACACCCCGAGGGAGACTTAGGGACTGGCAGACGGACGGACGGACAGCGAGGACCCTCCCCGAGCCCCCGAGCCATGGCCGAGAGAAAGCAATCCGGGAAGGCGGCAGAGGACGAAGAGGTCCCTGCCTTTTTTAAAAACCTGGGCTCCGGCAGCCCCAAGCCCCGGCAGAAATTCTGTGGCATGTTCTGCCCGGTGGAAGGGTCCTCGGAGAACAAGACCATCGACTTCGACTCGCTGTCGGTGGGCCGGGGCTCGGGGCAGGTGGTAGCTCAGCAGCGGGACGTCGCCCACTTGGGCCCGGACCCGCAGCCGCCGTACTCGCGGCAGGGCCGGCGCGCCGGCGGGGAGCCATCTGTTGAATCGGGCCGGAAGGTGGAGATCCGGAGGGCCTCAGGCAAGGAAGCCCTGCAGAACATCTACGACCAGGTCGGTGTGGGGGTGAGGGGTGGAGACGGAGGACGGGGCGCGGGGATCGCCCCTCCCTCGCCCCTGAGCCCGGCGCGCCCGCCTTCATGCCCCGCCCTGGACCTCGCCTCCCGCATCTGCACGCGCACCCCCCCCGCCCCTCTCCGCGCAGGGTGCGGCGAGGCTGGGGCTGGGCGGTGGGCGGCCGTGCGCCCACAAAGGCTGCCCGCGTCTCCCTGAGCTTGGGAGGTGGGGGGTGGGCAGAGGGGATGGGCTGATCCCGGGCTGGGGCGGAGGGTGGTCGCCTGGGAAGGGTTGGCCGCGGTTCCATTCTTCTGAAATCCTCCCGGGCGGCTTCCGATTGCAGCTGCGGCTGGGTGCCCCACCCTTTTTTGAGGCGGTTCGGAGCGTGGGGTGGAGGCTTTGCGTGAAGGCCCGCGGCTCCCGGGTGGTCGGTAGGCGCCAGGGTTCCGACGGCGGCTCCCTGCAGCCGCAGCCGGCACCTCCTGCGCTCGCGTCCCGAGCTCCGAGGCCAGGACCATGGTCAGCGCCCCCCGGACCGCCTCTGAGCACCGCACCGCCCTTGACTCCTGCTGGCAGCCTGAGAAGAGCCAGGGGGGCCCTGGAGTCGCCCGAGGAAACCGAGACGCTCCTAAATTGCCTATATGGGGAACAAAGTTCCAATAAGTGTCTCAGCCAGGGCTTCCCAGAGCTCTCCGCAAGCCGCTATGTGGGAGGTGCTTTAGGAACCGGCGAACTGAGTGGGTTATGTTCAAAGGGTCAAAAAGACAAGGAAAGGGGGGAAACCCCTCGCATTCGTAATAGATTATCGAAGAAGACTAGACCCCTCTTCTTGTGTTAATGAGGAAAACAAAGGCCAATTTGGTCAACCTTGATTTTGCAAAGTGTTTTTCACCCTCTGACAGATACGAACAGTGAGCATTTTTAGCGCAGTAATCGTCTCACACCAATCGTCTCACACCACAGTTCTTTCTTTATCTGAGTGATCCTTACACTAGTGTAATTCTTTTCCACAGCCTTAGTTTCTTAACTGATAATTCACAGTGCAAAATGTTTTAACACCTTTTCTGTTTCCCTCCCATGCTCACTGGTGAAGATGAGAAGTCAATGAATGAATGATTATTTATTGAATACCTATTGTGTGCCTTGCCTTGTAGGGCAGGGGGAAGGTTAGTTGTACAAAGTGCAAGAGGTTTCTTCTTCTCAGAGGGCTTCCAGAGTAGTTGGGAGTGGTCTATACATATTCACCAAGGGATTCCACAAGCATTTACATTTGTGTACTTACGGTGACAGATTTGAGAAAAATTCAGAGTCGGTGATGATGCCTGGGGCATGATGTGACTGTCTGCTGATGTGACATAGAATTTTGCAGCTTTTGACGTTTGTAGGATCAAGTCTAGGAAAAATAAGTCATCTGTAAAAGGTGACACAACTAATCATTTCTATCCACCCCCAGCCCTACCCTCTAATATATTCATATAAGGGAGGGTCTCAAATCCAAAAAACTTGCTTTGTTCCAAGTGATGAGACAATTGAAGTAACAGTTTCTAATAATGTAACTTATACTAAAAGCTGAGTGAGTGTGTGTGAAACACTTCCCTATGTGAAAACATTGGATGAAGGCCAAAATCATATAGCATCATGGTTCAGTGAGTAGCCTCATGCATGGCAAGTTATGCTGGTGATTCTGATCTCCTAGAGGAAGCAGAGAAACAATTGGAGAATAAAGAAGAGATCATGTAAAAAATGGCAGATTGGCTGGGCGCGGTGGCTCATGCCTGTAATCTCTGCACTTTGGGAGGCTGAGGCAGGTGGATCACCTGAGGTCCGGAGTTCAAGACCAGCCTGACCAACATGGAGAAACCCCGTTTCTACTAAAAATACAAAGTTAACTGGGCGTGGTGGTGCATGCCTATAATCCCAACTACTCGGGAGGCTGAGGCAGGAGAATCGCTTGAACCTGGGAGACAGGTTGCAGTGATCCGAGATTGCACCATTGCACTTCAGCAGAAAAAAAAAAAAAAAAAAGGCAGATCAGGGGATAGGGTTTGAAAGTGGCCACCCCTATCATGATAGAAGTGAATTAAAACTCAGGTTTGAAAGCCATAGTTCCACTGTGTTGAATAACACTTCTTTTTTCTTGGCCATTTGGAAGCTTAGATGTTTGAAATTCTAAATTGTAAATCTAAGGCACAGAGAGGGGGAGATTTGAAAAGAAAAATACTCAAACAAACTTCAAGGCAGTTTTAGACTGCAATCCACATTGGCTTCAGTTGCCCAGTTATTTGTAATAGAGGGCGATTCTAGCTCGGCCTTTCTGCAGCCCCTTCCCCTGAATTTTCATGTTTAATCTTGCCTTATCATATAAGGCCTATTCAATGAGATGTTGTCATTCATGACTAAGATCATTTACCTGGATCAGCACTTGCAATGTTTCAATTTCTTGCAATGTTTCATTTCATGTCTATACAAAAGGGCAAAGACTGGCTGTACATGTGTTTCTATCATATAACAATAATGATTTCCAAAAAGCACAATTGGCCCACGAATTTTACTGAGTTGATTCGTTATTACTTAGTTTTCACTGAATGAGCCAGGTGAGTGCTAGCATCTCTGTGTATTCTAATTGGAAGCCCTGGCACAAAGAGAGGTGGGGGAGATGGAGAGTGGGTGGATCCTGGAATCCTGACTCATGCTATCCCTCCTCTCTTGCAGCTGTATTTATGTGTTGTTAATGTATAGTCAGACCTGACTTTGCTCATCTGTTGCACTAAGAAGCCTGCTGTTCCCCTACAAGGCTTTGGGAAGGGAGAGAACAGGCTTCCTTAACTCACCCTGCCACATGGGTCATGGAAGATGAGAGATGTTGGACATGAGGATTTGCAGGAATTAAATGAAATTATGTTTAGAGTGTGAGCCAGACAGCACCAGAAAGCAATGGGTGTGGCTTGACTTGGCATGTCAGATTTTCGCGGAGTAAAAGAGCTAGTACAGTGACTGTGAATGAGAAAAGCGTCTATCTTGTTACATTCTTTTCCCTATAAGTCCACTTTGGGCTGCAGTGAGGTTACATTGATTACCACTGTGAAAGACTCTGAGCTGCTTGGAAGAGAGAGAAGAAAAGCATCTCTCTTGGCCCAATCCTCCCTTGTCAGTGCCCAGGGGTTCCTCAGCCTCTTTCCTTCCTCCTAGGAACTTCCTCCATTCTACCCCAGACACAGTGTAGCCAGAACCAGTGGCTCCTCCAGGGATCCTGGACCATAAGGATACTTTCCAAGGGGCCACTAGGTCCTTCTCCCAGCAGCAAACAACCTATGCAGGCTGGAGTGACAGGGAGTGATTCTCCTCTTCTCCAGGGCAGGTGCCACTGAGTGGACGGCAGAGTGCTGCTGAGTTTGGCAACATCACTGAGTCTGTGAAGTGCTTTCTGGGGCTCCCTTCCATCTGGGCCCCTGTGTTGAGTCTCTCTGGCCCTGGGAGCCCCCCTCTAACTGTTCGACATCATTCCCACTCCATCCCCATAGGATGCCCCTTTTAGATTTTTTTTCTTCCAAAGGACAACAGGTTCTAAAATCACTCTTTGCCCTCCCTTCTCCCATTCAGAATTCTTAACTTGCATTTATCTAAGTTAAAGAGAAATTCCAAGGATTAAAGCCATCTGCTTCTTAGGCGAACGACTGATGCCTGAGTTGTCCCCAGAGATACGTGTTTGATAATAGACTGGTCTCTTAAACAAAATGAATGTGTAGTTAGTGGGGTGTGTGGTGGAGATTTGGCTGGAAGCCTGGAATAAAGGCAAAACCTTGACACTTTACAGGTCATATTGATTCAAAACAGGAGATACAAGCATTTGTGTGTTCAGGATTCAAAAAACTCTAAGACCCACCTGGGTTTAAAGGGAGGAAAGTGGGGTGGGGGGGCTTGGGGAGGGGAAGGAAATGATGAAAATCCATCATTTGTTGTTTGCTCTTGATTTCCCAACTGGTTATTGAATTAATCATGTAATTAGTTGTTAAAAAATAATTTTTACGTAACATAAAATTTGCCACTTTAACCATTTTTAAGTGTACAGTTCAGTGGTGTTAAGTACATTCACATTGTTGTGCAACTGATCTCCAGAAGGTTTTCATCCCTCCAAGCTGAAGCTGTGTACCCATTAAACACCAACTTCTCATTCCACCTCTTCCCAGCCCCTGGCAACCACCATTTTCTTTTCTGTCTCTGCCAGCTTGATTACTCTAGATTCCTCACATAAGTGGAATGACACCGTGTATGTTCTTTGTGACTGGCATATTTCACTTAGCATAATGCCCTTAAGGTTAATCTATGTTACAACATGTGATAAAATTCCTTCTTTTTTTATGGCTGAATCGTATTTCTTTCTTTTCTTTTC